TCAGATCCATACATTGCATCATACAGTACTAGTGACAATAATCAGATCAAGCACACAAGTATAAACTCCTTAGAGGAATCAAGAACAGGATCTCGGGTAAGCGTTTAAAAAGACGGCACCACAACTGCATCTAAAGCCATGAACGTACATTCTTGTACAGAGCAGAGAAAATCCTCATCGTTGACAGGGTGCATATTCAAGGTTATTAAGACTCGGAACGAGTTGAGAAGGTGAAACGGAGAAAGGTTTGGCAACTGATATCCGTGATTGCTGCTATTGCATGATTCTGGGGTTTAAATGCGTAAAAGTGAAAGATATTTGATGTCAGATATAATGGTGGCAGTTTCACTGCACACTTCGGAGGTCAGGGTTTGTGTCTCGAGGATGACTGGAAGTTTTTACAAATTATTCACGTAAGGAAGCAGCTTAGAATTCCTCCATATAAAGCCACCGCATACAGATTGACTGGATTGGAATTAGAAAAATACAAGTACAAAATCCATTACATTCAAGAGACAATCTAGCACAAAAGGGTAATATCATAATCTTTATAGCTAATATAGGAATTTCTGTTTCATAGAGGCATTTTGCTAAGAGGCATCTTCTAAATAGAAAAAAGAGGGGTGAACTTCATGATGGGGGCATCATGGGATGGGATCAGATTCTAAAGATGCATCATGCGGGGGATGTTCAAATAAGCCATGTTATCATTCAATGCATTATAATTCTCGCTAGCAATGACAATTTGTTAAAATACACATATTTCCCCCTCTGGATATGCAGGGGTCACGATAAAGAATGACAATCATGAGGGGACACTGGCGAGATGGGATCAAACTTTTAATTCACATAAAAATTTGATTCCTGCACCCTTTATGCAGCCTCATGTCGTTCTAATTCAGTATGACTAACTTTCTCGCGTAAAACAAAAATGGAGACATTTTGAAGAATGTCCATGCTGCATTTTTCTATACACCAAAAAGCACAATAAAAGTATGCAGTAATGACCTAAATTTCTGTCTTTTCTCCACACAAAACTATTTTATGGCTTCAGAAGACTTGAGTTGGAGTCATATGAAACACTTTTATGGTGTTTTTGTCATTTTTACACTGTGAAAAGTGCAGCATGAACATTCGTCTGAACATCTTTTTTTGCATGTTCCATGAAATCATGCAAATACTGGAACATGAGGATGTGCACATGATGACAGAATTATCATTTTTGGGTGAACTGTCCCTTTAAGAACGTGATGTTGTTTTGGTATGGGTTTAAGGTGCAAATATTGTCTTTCTAAAATAGGTATTAAAAAGGTGCCAACATTTTGCACACCACTCTCACTGCAGGTTACTTCAAAGGAAAAACCATCAGAAAAGATTAGAAGAATTAGTTGTGCTGATAAAATACATTTGAAACCTGAAGACGGATCCGCTGGCTAAACTCAGCGGAATAAAGCCTGGCTCTCTGCATCATGAAATTTCCCTTACAGACTTTTCTTTGGCAAATGTCTGAGAGAATGACGCGTGTATAACGTGTCTCCTGGTCGCCGGGAAGAACTTCAATTGCGTCTGAGGCACATTTCGCGCCAGGGAAGACGTCTTACGGTAACTTCTTGTGAACGACAAACATTTGAGACGCGGATGAGTCACGTATTTCATGATCAACAATCCTTTGAGGAAACATAATTTTAAGCTGCGATCACATTAGCGATATTTCAGTGAAATTTACTGTCAATTTCGTAGAAATGTACGAAGCAGTATTCACACAGAAACCATTTTTAAACCAAGCGAATTTGCAGTGAATTTGTTTAGGGAACGTCTTCGCTTTCACGCAAAACTCTAGATTGTACGGATTCCTATTTAAATGACGAGTTTGCTTGAGAAATTTCGCTGAGGTAAATGTGACCGCATTTTTAGTCAGGGTGGACAAAATTGAACTTTTCACAAGGATTTTTCGTAAAAATTAAACATGGCGCCCACTCTAACTAATGCTGAAGTAGGGATCATTTACGATTAGATGCAATTCAAATTGTCCATAATGACAATCAACTGATTCAAAACAGCTGAGCAGGAGGTTTAGTATCTTATTATTCATAATTCTACCCTACTATAACTTTTAAAGTTTCATAAGCGGGGCCATACAGGTGATTTATAAAATTTGCTTAATAAAATCACACTTATAAAAGTGATTAGGACCTGATTTTTCAGGTAAACATCAACAGTATGTCTCACGACTGCCTCAGGCACAATTACAGCCTACAAGCTTTCTATTACTTAAAATACACTGAGGTTTAAACCCTTGGCTTGGAATAAATGCATCTATTGTATAAATAACAGGAAAGGGGACTATTCAGACACAGATCTCGCGCCCCACCAGGCCACATGCAGCAATGCGGTTGTCTCGCTCGTGCACGTCCACAAGCAGGAACTAACTAATCGTCTAGAGGAGGTGCTTGTTGGCTTAACAGGTAAGCATAGGTATATATATACACAGATATTTGTACATGAGCTTTTGACAACAGTCTCGATCCAGTAGAGCACACCTCAGGAAAGGCTGAGGTGTCTAAATTAAATGTTACGAACGAAGCTACACACAAACAGATATTTGTATATGAGCTTTTGACAACAATCTCGATCCAGTAGAGTTTTCTAAACGAAACGTTACGAACGAAGCGAGGAAAAACAGCGCCCTAAAGAAGGTGGTCTAAGGAGAACAAATTAAATACAGTATTTCGAAGAAGTACAAAAAAACCTTATTAGTTATAAGTTCATAAATTCACAGACATTATCATTTATAGAAGAAAAATCGAAGCAAAACAAACAAAAGAACATCAATCGTCTTATTAAAAAGGAAAAAGCTGGACTTGAACAGTGAAAGAGTGTGCGGCTTTTAAACCTGTGATCTGGCTTATAGCATTCCTTCATTTATCTAATCTAGGCTCCCTACGACCTCAAGAGGGATTCAGGAAGCAGAGTCTGAGGTTCGAACCAGCCCAAGAACCCAGGGAGCTGATGTGCACTGCAAAAATCAGTTTCTAAGCAGAAATGTTTTCCAGTAATATATCCAAACATCCTTAAAACAAGATTAAATTACCTGAGAAGCAAAACTGCGCAAGATAATACAAGAATAAATTGAACAAATCAGTTTTTGAATGAATCCGTTAAGCAGAGGAATCATTCACATGTTCCTTTCTCCAATTTGTAGGCACTCACATTTGAATAAAGACTTGTTTTGATTGTGAACAACACTGTGGTTTTTTAAGATTCAGTTAAGTACAGTAAATGATTCAGAACTTCCTCATAACTCACAAAATGACATTTGCTTGTCAACACTTACTGGCATAGTGATGCAACCTGCAGAAAAGCTCACTGAATGAATCAGTGAAGAATCTTTTTAATAAAATCATAAAGAAAAAACGATTCACTTCAATCAAAACCCCACCACTTATCTTGAATTAATCTGATTTGTCTTTCTTTTTCAGTATAAATTAAACAAAATGTCATGAGGTTTTTGTTTTAAAAAAGGGAGAGGAAAGCCAAACACTATTTTGCTTCTCAAATAAACTGATCTGGTTTGAAGAAATTTTTTAGATATGTTCATGAGACAAACATACTAATAAGAACATGATTTTTTGCAATGTGTCATTGACAGCACACAATCTGGTTTAAAGACCAGAACATGACCCTGCAAGGGTCTGACTCACAAGTGCCTAAAACACAGGATGTGCACGTCGCAGGAGAACATGCTATGCTGACTCCCACAATTCAACGAGTCTGTGTGTGTGTGTGTCTGTGAGAGAACACCTTTCTCTTCTACATCAATCCCTGTTTTCTTTTCCTCTAACTCTCTCTCACCATGTGCTTGGAGGAATGGACAGAATCAGCAAATCTTTGAGCTAGAATGGCATCTACAGCCTCAGGCACAGGAAAAAAAAAACGAGGGCTGAGTATCTCAGTGATGATACAAAAGCTAACTTGAGACTAAAACAAAAACAAAACTTGCCATTATAACGAAAGCCAACGACAACTAAAAGCATTGTCTACGGTAGCTAAAAATTAGTGCAGTGTCTATTATTAAACTATATTAGAGAGGAGTAGCACTCTTTTGGATTAGCCAGCAAGACGCTACACACTGCAGTAAGGTCAAGTATTGACATAAAATGCATTTTTTCGTTCAAGTATCGTCATACTGCTCTGATAATGAACTCATTGATAGCTGTACATGTCAGAGAAGAGCGCAGAGCTAAAAGTGACGGGGTGTCACGATATAAAAAGGTTCGACTGGCTTTCCATCGGGTGATTCAGTTAGTCAGAAACACTCGTAGGCAGGGTCTAAAATTAACTCTTTTCAACTGCCAACAGTTAATGAATAAAAAAAAAATGCAGACCAAAAATATGAATTATTTCAGATTATTTCACATTACAAAAAAATTTATATGAAATGTTATTTTTTTAGAATATACATTACCGTTCAAAAGTGGTCAGTAATTCTTTTTTGAAAGAAATTAATACTTTTATTCAGCAAAGATGCATTAAACTGATCAAAAGTGACAGTAACATTTATGATGTTACAAAACATTCCTATTGCAAATAAATGCTTTTCTTTTAAACTTTCTACTCAAAGAAACCTGAAAAAGTATCAAGATTTCCACAAAACTATTAAGCAGCACAACTGTTTTCATCATTGATAATAAGAAATATTTCTTAAGCACCAAGTCAGCATATTAGAATGATTTCTGAAGGATCATGACACTGAAAACTGGAGTAATGATGCTGAAAATTCAGCTTTGCCATCACAGGAATAAATTATATTTTAAAATAGAAAATAAATATTTAAAATTGTAATAATATTTCATAATATTACTGTTTTTACTGTATTTCTGATTAAATAAATACAACACTGGTGATCATAAGAGACTTCTTTCAAAAACATTATTACAGATCCCAGTCTTTTGAACGGTAATGTAAATTAATATAATAAAATATTCAATGCTTTGCAAGTGCTAATTTTGGACCCTGCTCAACGACCGCAGCGCAGCTTGCGCAAACATCCGGCTTGCCCCCGACACATCGCTGCTGTCTGTGAGTGGAAAACAAGTGGTTTATCTCTGAACAACTGTCATCTACAGAGGCACCGGACACATTGAGGGTCATTGCTTGAAAGAAAGAGGCATCTAGGTATCGACTGTGCATTATGAAGGTGAAGGTGGTGCTTCTGTGCAGAGAACAAATCTGAACAGGTTTGTGAGGTATGAGGTTAAGCAGTCTGAAAACACTCATTCTCTCTCTCTTCGTAAGATTCAGAGCAAGAAAGGGGGGCAGGAAGCCACAAAACATTCCTCTGACTGAGAGGTGTACGCTGCTGTGTGAAAAAGACGTTTGTGCAATGAAGCTGACCAGGAACAGAAACGTAAAGATAGAGAAAGACCAAGAGGGAGCACTTGCTTCAAATGCACTTTTTGTAGGCAAAACTTGACCTTAAATAGTAGCCATTTCTTGCAGATTGTAAAGTCTGATAACTGGTCCGGAGCCACCAGAGGAAACAGGCGTAGGGACCAGAATTGGCTCCCCCAGGGCCCTGAGGGGGTGAGAGGGAGGGAGGATGGGGTTGGGTGTAAGGTGAAAGCTTCTGGGATAAAACATCTTCATCCGGCTCAGAGCTTCCCTCATCCCTTTCCAGTCTCTCTCACTCTCGTTCGCTCTTTCCCCCCGGCATCTGAGGCCGAGGGTCAAGATTAAGGCCCCAGCATGTCCATACATAAGCCCAGTCCGGACTAAACCCCGTCCCAGGCCAGGCTGAGGCCTCACTGGTCCGCACAGGAAATCAGCACAGGAGCCATGTCCTTCACTTGACCTTCAGTGGGGATGCCCACAGCATGCTGGGCTCTGGAACAAACACACAGGTGGTTATTATCAACAGACACACACCATCTCAGCCATGAGACTGCAGGGTTTCCCTTCTACCTGTGCACATTCTCCATGGCTGCAACCTCAGCCAGAGCAGCCAAGCTGAAGAAAGCCGGGAGGCCGCCGGGCGCATCCGTCAAGTCCGCTTCCGCTGATCTGGGGTCATTGTAGCAGACCCCCCTATTGCATAATGTCTCTTGAGTGAATGGCTTTTCATCCTGATTCTTGGTCTGATCCTTGGATTTGTCTTCTGCTGTAATAGAGAGTAATAAAAGAATTTTAGATTTTTCAACAATGTTTTTTATTGGCAGGACAGCAGAGATGAACAATCTTAATGTTTCTAAGGGATGCACACTCACATGATATAAAAAATCCAGTCATATCACTGGCTAAAAAAATATGCATTTTATTCTACATGAGAAAGATCCACTATGTTGAGATGACAGCTTAATGTGGTTTATTTTATCTTAGTACCTTTTTGTTGGTGGCCACTGGCCACTTTTGGTTGCGGTATAAAGGTGAGAAATATATCTGTGAATAGCGCATTTCAACAGTAGCAAGTGGCATCAGTGGCTAACTTTATTTTTACATGATGCATCTGTGAATTCAGTCTAAATTATATATATATATATATATTTAATAGAAATGTATATTCAGCAAGGATGCATAACTAATAAAAACTGATTTCAAATAAAAAAAATGTAATAAAAAATAAATTTTAAACATTTTTTTTAACATTTAAAATAAATTACTGTATTTTTGATAAAATAAATGCAGCCTCAGTGAGCAAAAGACACTTTAAAAACAAAAACGTTAAAACATCCTAACTTTTGAATAGCAATGTACTGTACATTGAAAAACAAAAGTAGAACATGGGTGTAGAGCGTTTCTGCAAGAAATTATCAGTGTAGAAATCATAAATAAGATGTTGTAACAGGACAATGTGGGTTCAGCTCACCCTCTGCAGGTGACACTCGGCCATCAGCCGTGCGCACCAAGTGTGTGATTTTACTCTTCCTGGCCTTCCTCTTCTGACTACCCACAGGCGTATCCAGAACCTTCTGGGGTTCAGGAGAGGGAGACACACACAGACTGCCCGACTTCACCACTGAACTTGATTCTGTACCCACAGTTAGGTCAGTTGGGACAACATCTAATGGAACAGAGTGGGGACATGTGAAATATGTCAAAAATGAGACCTGGAAGTCCTAATGCAGATGCCTGACAATGAATGATGCTTTAGGATGTTATATTGCATTTAACTTGTGCCACTTGTACTACACCACACCAGGTTGCATCAAAAGTATTTACATAACTGTGACACCTGTGCCCCTTTAAGATAACCAGAGTATACAGTGACCTAGATATGACAGCGTTCCCTGCTATGCGGCAGGAAACATTGAGGCACACTGGGCTAAACCACGGACAAACAACAACCAACACCATGCAAGCACAGTTTCCAGCACTCGTTCACACAGTCTTGCCATCTGAACACAGAATGAAGCTGATATCTAATGGCTGTGGGGGCGTCACCTTTGTCTGCGGCACTGGATTTCTCCTTCCTGTGTTTGTACTTGTTCACTATCTTGTGGAATAAGGTCTTTTTCTGAGATGAAGATGAACCTAATTTCAAAAGCAATAAAACAAGAACAAAAAAAATACAACACAGCATGCTATGTTAGGTGGAAGTCATGTCATTCTGAACATGAGATGACTACTTCCTAAAAAAGTAAGCAAATGAGGAAATGAGTGTGGGGGCCAGGAGGATGTGATGTCAGTTTCCATGCATGCAGTGAACTCACCCTTGCAGGGTTTGGGCAGTTCAGGAGGGCTGGATGTACTGTTTTTTTTCTTCTTGGTTACCGCCACGCTCTTTTTGTCAAAAGTCAGGGGGCTGTACTGCGGTAAGCTGTTGAACTTTTTCTCGAACTCCTCTTCAAGCTTTCCTAGCCTGTGAGTTTTATACACAGTAAAAAATTAGCCATCTGTGCAAAGTCGGCTCATCTGGATTTAACGTCTGCTAGATAAACTGACTTTAATATTGCACAAAGAAACACGATGGAATGTTCTTCAAAAATTTTATTCTGCAATTTTAGTCTGAAACTATGATCATGGGATGGCAAAAATGAGTATGATACATGCTTGAAATGTACAAAACTCTTTGGACTCCTTAATTATCAAGCTAACCTAATGCACAGAAACTGAGAAATGTTTTAAGTCTTTTTAGACCATTAACACTCTCCAATTAACCTAATAAAAAAAGGCAAACCCAAAAGTTAGCCTCAACGTCAAATATACTGATTCAGCTAATATTAATTACATTATCAATCAATAATCTACGGTGGCCGAGAAGTGCAAAACAAATCACAATTCTGAAAATTGTTTTAATTGCAAATTACAAATGCAATTCTAAAAAACAAAATAATTCAGAAAACACAACAATTTCGAAAACATTATAACAAGTCAGAAAATGCAATGACAAATCCGAAAACAAATTAACAAGTCAGAAAACACAACGACAATGAAATTAGATATACAGCTCTCTGCTTGCAGCGCGTCAGTTACGCTCGTCAGGAAAGTAAGTGAAATACACACACAAACACATTTTTTTATCAAATAATACATCATTAATAGCAGTTCACTTCTGTGATTTGGTACGATTGCATTCATATCAGCAGCGAACCGTATCCCAGACCACCCTTTTTAAGCGGACTCGGGTACGGTTTGCGGGTGAGCCCCCGAGTTCAGAAGACAGCATTCATCATCCAAACGAACTGAACTCTGACATCAATCGAACCCGGGTGTGCACCAAAAGTGCTAGTGTGAAAGCACCCTTAATGCTGTTTTATATAACTCAATTCCAGTTTAATTGTCCTATTAAAAAGACTGTTCAACTCTTAATATTTTGTATTAATATTCTCCCCTTTAAATTCTCTCTGCCCCACAAAAATCCCAATTTAACACACCTTTGCCTGTTTTTTTTTTGCATTCTCATTTGCTCAAATAGCAAAAGAAAATTGCCACGATCTAGTGTTTTCACGACTTTAAAAAAAAAAAAGATTGAGAGAGACTGAACGGCAGTCAGAAGAGAGAACTGTCAAATTTACCATCACTCCCATAGACACTGTATTAGAAACACCCTCCCATTACCGTTAACTATTTTTTTGTAATCTGATTCAATAATATAAGTATTGTAAATGTACATGCATATTTTTTTTTCCATAGTAAGGGCAATTCATACAATACATTTAAACTGTGCTACTTTAAGACCCTCTCCGAACTTTCTACCACTAGTCTGCTGTTCTTCCTGTATAGGCTACCTTGATTGACAGATGTCTCGTCCAGTCAGCGGTGAGTAATCTATTCTCACACCAATGGCGCTGTCTCAAACTATTCCTACCTCTTCTGGTTTGTCTGATTTGTCGTTGTGTTTTCTGTCGTTGCACTTCTCGGCCACTATAATAATCAATGTTGAATCAGGCTGCAACTAATCAATTAAATCACTAAAAATCAAAAATGATAAAGTCAACAACAAATTTGTAATTTATTTCATACTAAGTATAGTTCAAATGTACTTACTGACATATCGCTTGAGACTTACTGCTATAAAAATTATAATTAAACTTTATTTGGAGTACTACTTGTGCACAATGCATATTTCTTAATATTAAACCTAAAATGTTTTTTAATGGGGATTGCATGATCTCTGAATAATATCAGTTTTTAAATGCAAGATATTTAAAGTGTACCTGAAGCATACTTGCAATAGTTCCACTTTAGCACAATCAAATATACTTCAGTATATCTTTAGTTGGACTTCAGCACTACTTTCACAATTAAGTACACAATTAGTTTATCAGAATTTAAGTATACCAGTTTAGTATACCAAAAGTCCAATTGCAGAGTATTTTTATTAAACACATAAATATGTAAAGGTATTTGTAGTATACTTGGCATGAAATAAATGTATTTCAAATACATTTATATGTATTACATATATTTATTTTTCACTAGGGTGTTTAAGCTGTTCTGTTACTTTTTAATAATAGAACATTTTAGTTTGTTTTGATAATCTTAAAATCTATTTAAATGGCACTTTTAATTAAATATCAAATATCAAATACATATGTAATTTACATTTAAAACCCCATGTATAACATACATTCATTATTATATTTAGGTGTTTTTATAGCCTTAAATTTGCTTGTTGTTTGAAGGAGCACTGAGCAAGATGTGATTTTGTTTGTTGTTCCCCCCCCCCCAAAAATGCAGAAAATAACGTGCCGTTTTTTTTAAAGACCTGATTGATCGAGAGGAAAAAATATTCCATTATAAAAAAACTTGTTAGTCGCAGCCCAAATAAAATAAACTCTGCAGGAGAAGAATCACTGTTTCCCTGCAGATTCAGTGATGTGAAAGGAGGAATTACAGCTCACCCTGGGGTGGTTTCCTCTTTAGACTTGGACTTCTTGAGCTTTTTTGGGTTGCTGGTAGCAGCTTGAGAAAATCCCCAGCTCTCGTCATTCCAGCCGCCCTCATGATCGGACACACTTCCTCGCATGGACCCTCTTTTCCCTACAACACAGACCAGAAAACCAAACAGCACTTTTTAATTTACCGTATCACCTGATTTTAGTGTATATGTGAATTACTTGAGATAAAGGCCAATTGAGTCATATTAAGTTAAAATGTTAATGATATTCAGTATAATATGATATAAAAATAAACATCATGATGCTGAAATTGTACTTCGGCCTACAAGGGTACAAGGCTTCCTTAGAAAATGCTAGGAAGCACAACCTAATCTATTTTTGTGTTGTTGGCATATTTGCAGAATAAGGAGATATAAATGGGGAAGTATGTTTTTCCATGATACTATTTGCTCCACATGATCAGTTTGAACTAATGTGTAATGAGTTTCAAATCCAGTCACACAGCACCTATGACAAGATCAACAAACAGGAAAGGAACCTGTGGGATGTGCGTTACCTCTGTCTACATTTGCTCTCAGTGATGTAAGCATCCCTTCGGACACCAGAGTCTTATAAAGCGCTCCTTTACAGCTTCGTTCTGACTTCCTGGACCCACAGGTCTCTGGCTTAACATCTTGCTCTCTATCTTCCTGTCTGGTCTGAGGTGGTTTGGTGTCTGTGTCTTTCTCCTCCAGTTCTGTAGGATGAGGAGGAGAGCAGTGTGGTGACGAGTCCTCCACGCCAATAGGGGGCTCCACCTTCATGTCCGGCTCATTCTCACACTCATCTTTAGGGGTCAGAGGAGCTTCCTCAGTTTTCATCTCTACATCCTGCGGTTTATTGGTCTCTTCCTCCCCTTCTTCCTCTTCCTCCGCATCATCGTCTTTTAACTTCAACTGTTTTTTCGGTTTAGGTTTTGTTTTCTTCTTCACCGCTGGAGATTGGTCCGTTGTGGGGCTGCTCTCACTCCCTGAGGGACGAGCTTTCTTCCTGGGTGTTTCTTCTGAGCCCCAAGCACCTTTTGCTACTGCTTCGATGGTGAACATCACGCTGTCCAGGTCCGACTCGGGCGAATGGCGCTTCTTTGCCTTTTTGGGCGATGCAGGATTTTCGTCCGAGTCTTTATTTTCTTTCTTCTTTTTCTTCTTCTTCAGCGTTTTACACGGGCTGAGATCAGATGGGGTGGTGTCAGTAGGGGAGGACGAGGTGGATCCGGAGGTAGAGGATGATGATAATGATGTGGTGACAGGAAGTTCAGGAGTGTCTTCGTGTTCTGTGGTGACTCTGCTACTTGAGCTGTGCTGAGCACAGAGTGAGGAGGAACCACCAGAGGGCTGGGAGGATCGAGCTTCCATCTTTTCAGCCTCAGAGGCCAAACACATCTATGTACACACACACAAGCACATCAGGTTATGGGAAAAATTATATATAAGCTGCCTGGAAGTCAACACGAGACTATGTTCGCAACCCATTTTAATCCAATACTGTGACATATTGCTAAGTGAAACAGGATAAAAAAGTAGGCCCTTGGATTTGATCCATTAGTAAATGTTTGAATGATGACATTTTTGAAGTTTCTATACTTTCACAAATGCAATTCTTAATTAGTATCTTTATCTTGTTTCAAGTTAAAACATATATACATCCTTAAAAATGTGAATCTGTTGAATATGAATATGATTTTTAAACGAATTTTCAGCACATATATTTAAAAATGTGTTTTGTCAGGGGTGCCCCCTTTCGCCCCTCATTTTTGCGTTGGTCTTAGAGCCATTGGCTGTAGATATATGCAGCAACCCAAATATTAAAGGTGTTATGGCCGGTCAGCAGGAGCATAAAATACTTTTGTATGCTGAAGATATTTTACTTATCTCTAGTAATCCACAAATAACAGTACCCACAATGTGCTCTTTAACTGATGACTTTTCTCAAATCCCAGGATATAAAATTAATTGGAGTAAATCAGAAGTAATGCCTCTGTCTAAAAAACATAATATGTTAGAAGTGCAATGGCCATTTAAATGGGTCTCATCTGGGTTAGTTTATCTGGGAATCAAACTTGTACCTGGATTAGAAAAAATTATGCAGGTTAACTTTCAACCAGTTATTCAAGAGATCCAAAATTTGTTACAGAATTGGAGCAAACTTACAATGTCTATTTTGGGTCGAATTAATCTTGTTAAAATGATAATTGTTCCCAAAATTAATTATTTGTCATATATGCTTCCCCTTGCATTACCACTATCACTTCTGAAGAAGTACAATAAGAATGCAGAATCCTTTATTTGGCAAGGGAAGAAACCCCTTTTTAATCATACCAAATTGTATTCTGCTAAAAGTTCGGGTGGGCTCTCTCAGTGGACTAAAATCAATATGGCGCCTAACGTAGCCCCTACGTGGGTGCATATTGAAAAGGAACTGTTGGCCCCTTTTTCCAACAGAGGCTTTCTTGACACAGCTCACCTGACCAGTACCTGACCAGAATCCTGTTCTTAGATTTGTTAAAGAAAGTTGGAAATTGAATCACCAAAACTTGTTTACTTGATATTGGTACTATGGTTCATATGTTGTATGAATGTGATAAGGTTAAAGAACTGTGGGAAAAAAATTGTACATTTTGTTAATAACATTTTCAGCCTAACACTACACAAGAACCCTGCTCTCTGTATGTTGGGTATTTACCAGAAGATGCATGCCTCTCCCGGCAACAAAGGCAATGGTGCCGTCTAGCTATGGTGTCTGGATGTAGAGTCATTCTGAGACATTGGAAATCTGTTACGCCCTCTTCATTTGATGAATGGCTAGAACTCATGTACAATATTGCTAGCTATGAACGTGTGATATTTAGAGTCTCAGGACGCCTTGATCTGAAAATATCAAAATATGGGGTTCTTTTCTTACATTGCTTGAGAAAATGGTATAAAGAGATAAGCATAATGTCAAATATGCTCTGTCTCCTTAAGAGTGCATGTAAAGTCTAAGATGTCTCGGTGTGTCTAAACCCTAAATATGTATATATTATTTTGGTTTTTATTTATTTTTTTATATCCAAGTTGTTTTGAGTTATCTTAGAAAATTTTGATAAAAATAGTAGTTGCTAGTGTGCCTTCAGGTCTAAATCAAAAATTCTAATATCTTATTTAAAATGTACTGCATAAGATATTAAAACAAATTTTCAGCAAATACTTCTTGAATACAAATGTTCATTTGGTAAATTGTTCACTTGATTTAACATAAAAAGTAAAATTAAAAAAAAAAAAAAATGTAAATAAAAAAACAACAAAGAAAATTATGAATAAAATAATTTTAACTATTTATTTGTTACTGTCATTCTTAAGTGTTATATTAAGTCAGTTTTGTTCCTGTCAATTGTTTAAATCAAGTTCGGATTGTTTTATTGTGTTTAAAAAAGCAAAATAAAAAATAAAAATGTGTTTTGTTCATTTGGTAAAGATAAAATACAGATAAAATAATTGCATTAGGATTTTTCAGCAAATAATTGTTAGTGGATTGTTTTGAAACAGAAAAAAAGATAATTTTAATAAATTCTAAATCATTTTAATTTAATTGAATTAATTAATTGTATTTATTAAACTTAATACTTCTTGAATACAAATGTTCATTTGGTAAATTGTTCACTTGATTTAACATAAAAAGTAAAATTAAAAAAAAAAAAAAATGTAAATAAAAAAACAACAAAGAAAATTATGAATAAAATAATTTTAAAAAGTATTATTCATAATATTATTTTATATAAAAGCATAAATGTTAAATACATGTTATCTTATTTTCTAAAGTAAAGTTGTTTAAAGAGTTTAGGTTACATTTTGATTTTTACACTTTTCAGAAAACATGTACTGATGAATTGTTCACAATTACACCAGGAACATGTAATAAGAAAGTAAAAGGGTTCGTTTTAATTTCATGTTGATTTTAAGATATATAAACACCCACCAGGTGGCAGCCAATGCTTCAGAACTCTCCTAGGATTTATTACATAACATTGCTTGCCATTGTTCATGCCAACCGGTCAACACCAGCCACTGCCTCACTGAGCTTTAATTCTGCATTATAACATCAAATACTGTAAGCATAAAATTCATCCTCCTGACTTGCATCATTGTGTAACCCGGGGCAGTGATTGTGCTGTATGTGGGTTGGTGACGTACCTCAGCGAGCTGGAAAAGAGCCGACTGGCCGCACTGCCTCACCTCAGACGCTGACTGAGACCTGCTGGAGGAGATCTGCTACAGAGACACACAAAACACACATATCAAGAGCAATAAACAGAGGAATAGGAAATTATTCGGACAACTCGTTAGGAAATTCACCCACAGAGAGGAATACAATTCTGATTTAAATCACAATGTTGTGATGGTGAGTGGTGCTCGCACATGCAAAACTCACTGCCAAAACTCACATACCATTTAGTTGCTAGGATTTTAGTCTATGGGATTTTTTTTAATCTGCGGGATTAAAAAATATATAAAACTGAGAATTAATGATTTGTTCTAACTCTACTTATAAGCAATAGTGATGCTTGCCTTAGTAAACACGACTAATAAGAACTAATAAGTCTAATGTTTTTATAATATTACATGGCTGCAGGTCACTGTCTAATTAGACAGTGAATTAGCTTTTCATTTTTATTTTCTGTTTTAATTATAAATTTAGTTTTTTGTTTTATTTGTAATATTTGAATATATATTTTTTTATATTTCTATATTTATTTTTTATTCTACATTTATTTTAATATTTCTATATTTCATTTATTAAAGTTTTAGTAATTTTAGTACCTCACCTTAAACTTGTTTCAGTTAGTTGCCAAAGCAACATTTCTAATTTTCACTCTAGTATTTTAAGTTAAAGTTTTTTTTTTAGCTTTCTTTTAAGTACGGAAAACAATTTGTAATAGTTTTAGTTTAGGTTAACAGTAAAAAAACTGCCTAATACAATCAGTCTTGCGTCACATGCTGTCACGTTTTGTGCCACAATTTAAGAACAGAAAGTGCAAACTGCTCAAATGAAAAGTTAATAGTTAGCAGATGGCCTTTAGAGCTAATGACACTGAAGAGAAATGACGAAAACAAAAGCAATGACTGGAAGTTCAGGAGTATCAAAATGGCTGCCTGGATGGAGGAAGTTGGTGTTCTAGCAGGTAACACACCAGCAAAAGAAGAAGTGGGACATTTTATTGACACTTTTTGAGTTACTAAAGGTTTCTGCTGTGGTCACTGACTGCAAAATATATATACAATCAATGTGAACACTGCATAATGCATTTAAGAATAATTCCTTCCTAGCATAGCATGACTGTATCTGCACTATATGAGCGAGGTAAGGTGGGACGAAAAACATTCAGAGTGGGATGGACAGGGGGACAATGGAGTCTCTAGGAGAGTTCATCTGTACCTCTGCCAGCTGAAACAAGGGTGATTTCACACAACTCTTGGGCAGGTCTGGTGAACTTGGCTGAGATGGTCCAGAGGCCTAAAAAGGACATTAAAATGAACCGAATGAGTGCTCAGTTTTAAATTCGAAAGATAATGGAAATCTTCCACATTAATGTAGCACTTCTTTCACTTGAGTGTCCAAAACCCTCACCTCTACATGTGTGAGAGAGCTTGTGTCCTCAGCGTTCTTACTTCCACCGGCTGGCTGTACCGGACTGGAAGAAATCTGAGGGGAAAGAATAAAAACATGAGTTTCAACAAAATGCATTTAGATCATTAAGCAAGTCATTTGGACACACACAGCCAACCACCCATATCCGAGACGTCTCACTGCTAATGAAGGTTTTAAGGGTCTTTTATTAAGGACTGACAAGTCTTCAGGTGGTCTCACCTCAGCCAGCTGGAAAAGGGCTGATTTCCCAGTGTGCTTAGCAACATCTGTGCATCCTGTCTGGGAAGAGCTGGAGGAAATCTAAAACGAAAGGATAAAAAAAAATGAAATCAGTAAAGCAGAACAAAGCCATAAAAGAAAACTACCTCGAATCAACATCCTCTTTGAAATGACCACTGACATTTACAACTCAACACCTCCCTCTGTTGACAGTTTGATGGAAAAGCCACAGGTAGATTCAATAAAATAAAAAAATACCCATCAATTACCGGAAGTGACAGACAACGAGACAGCTTTAGGTGTCTACGCTGGAAACCGTTGCACATTACCTCAGAATCTAGACATCGGCATTAGTAAAAAAGCTGATTAATTATAGTCTACTACTTTGTATTCACTGAAGTCAATTGATACAGGTTATTTTAGAAATAAGTAATTTAAATAAATTATTCTGAGTTGCAATGCTACATATGGTTACATAATGTACAATATATATATTTTAGGTCCAAAACCAGAAACATTATGACCTGGCTTTGATATAATGGTTAAAGGTTATTTAAAGGCAGAATATGTAAGTTTTTTTATTAAAATATCCCAAAACCACTAGAAAAGTGTTATATATTTTGCTGACATTATCCCAAATGTTTTGAAGAATGTTTAAATCCAGAGAAATAAGCAATTTTAACTAGTGTAACATAGTGTCATTAGCTATGTTTCCATCACCCTATTTTAATGCGCATTGTGAAGTATTGCATGAGAAACGAGTGATGGAAACGCCCAATTTCGAATAAAAATCCCTTAATTCGCAAAAACGTTTTTATGCTCGCTTGAGGTGGTTTTTGACTTGTGCGAAAAATGGTTGATGCGTATAATGGGAGATGGAAATGCATTTTGTGAATAAATTCCTCCAAGGGCATCAAAAAAGTCATGTGACTTTGCGCTATGGGACGGCAAAACCTGACTAGCGGACCGATCTCATTCCACACAATCCACAGCATCTGAAATGTTGTTATGGTCATTCCGAAATGCACGAGCAAAATCTGTCATCTAAGTATTTCTGTATAATTGCCTCCCAGAAATGTCTTACACGACTGCGTTCCCAAACAGCAGCATCCACCTCCGAAAGCAATGAATGTTTATTCATTGTATTTCGTCTGCTCGCTCTGAGGCGCAAGTAATTTATTATATATGAAAATGATTATATTCTCCTAATTTTCTTAGTGATTTATAGTGCCAGTTTATCAGGAAGTGACGATTTTGTTCTCTTTGACTTGTTGGATGGAAACGATGCTTGTTCGCAAATGTTTTATGCGATATTCCAGTTTTGCGCATAAGTTAAATTCGCAACTTTGGATGAAAACCCGGCTATTGTGTCGCCTGCCAATGACGTCATAACCCCTCGATTTTTCCGGTTTTATTTTGTTGAAAACATGGAAACCCCAAAGACACTTTAATATGTTATGCATTTTATTAGACAGGTGACGAACGCACAGAGTAGCATTATAACAGAACTTTCAATACACTCAAATGTATCTAGTATAAAACAGCGCTGTTTTACCCCACATACGCATGACCAGAAGAAGCAGAAGTGGTCGACTGTGGCATAATAAAAGCTCTGCTGCTATCGAGCCGTGTATCGCGCTCCTCCTTCATTAGCAATCACTCCAGCGGCCTCGTTTCGCTTCCACGACTTTTAGCCCCACCCTGCTTCATACTACAGTAACCTTAATACGTCTTTTAATACATTAGCTCATCAATTAACATGATTTCTGCCCGAGTCCCGTCGGATTGCATCAGCTGTGGGGATGAAGACGACAACTCCCATGATTCCACACTCAGTCACGGCGTCATCAAACTACGCCTTTGTTTCTTGTTTGTTTTGAATATGCGCCCTCTAGCGACGAAAACTTACATATTGTGCCTTTAAATAATGCATATAATGAAGTAAGTCAGAGAAATCAATTCACATATTTGATATTTGTAAATAAAATATTTGTTTTGTAGTGTTTAAAAGTTTGGGCTCTGTAAGATGTTTCTCTTATGCTCACCATGACTGCACGTAACAACAGTAAAAACAGTAATATTGTTAAATATTATTACAATTCAAAATAACTGTTTCCAATTATAATATAAAATATAATTTGTTTATGTAATGGCAAAGCTGAAGTTTTAGCAGTCATTACTACAGAAATAAAGTTAAAAAGAAGTACATTTGTTTAGCCAGCTACACTATCTCACATGTTTTGGCTTTGTCCAAAATTAAAAGACTTCTGGCAGTTGATATTTAAATTTCTCTCTGATACATTAAAGACATGTATAGAGCCTGAGGCCATAATTTCAATATTTGGTATCATACCACGATCCTTATGTTTTAATCAAAGTAAGAAAAATCTGATCGCTTTTGCTATGCTTTTAGCCCGGAGGTTAATACTGCTCAAATAGAAAGAAAAATCCCCTCCAGCCCAATGTATAATTGTGCAACAGGGGGAATTGTTGTGGGTAGGGATGTTATCTAAAAAATTAAAAAGATGTCTAACTGTATTATATGTCTCATGTTTGACAAAATATTCAATAAAAATACTTTGGAACAATAAAAAAATAAAAATAAAAAAGAAGTACATTTGTTTGAATGTCACTGATCAATTTAATGTGTATTTGCTAAAAAAGGTAAATTGCTTCCAAATAAAATATTAATTTTATACTGAAATAATGTTCAAAAGAAGAACATTTGTTTGAAACATTTGTTTACATTTCTTTAAATATACTTTTGATCAATTTAATGATCAATTTAATGTGTATTTGCTGAAAAAAGTTAATTTCTTGCAAAAAAAAAAAAAACTTATAAAACTTAAGTTTTATATATATAAATATAGTTAAAAAGAAGAACATTTGTTTTAAACAATTTTGTTTAAATGTCACTTTTGATCAATTTAATGTGTCTTTGCTGAAAAAAGTATTAATTTCTTGCAAAAAACAAGTTATCCACAAAAATAGGACTGCCTTGCATTGGGCACAAGAAATATCACATACATTCACACACAATATTACTGCATTATTTTAAGCAAACTGGAAAAATTAATTAACTGGTTTAGCTAAATAGCACAAAAAAAATAGAAACAAGAAGACTATTGACATGAAGCAACTTCAACATGGTGTTACTTTTAATTTATCATTGACTTGTAGTGCACTAATGCCATGCACAGTTGCTTTGGATCAACCTGTGTGTGAAATTTTGTTTGACATCACAGAGATTCAGAAGACTATTCCTGGTTAAACATTACGGAAAGTCAACAGGTAAAGAATTCAGCCCTGTCCCCTCAAACAAGACCAAACAGATGATGTAATGTGATTTGTCCGCAAAACAACGAGGCGCTGCCTTTTGTTTTGTATAAACCTCCCGTGGCCCTCTTCAGTGACAAATGCACTGCGGCGAAGGCAATTAGGATCACTTAGTGGCAGGAAAATGGAATTTACAGAGGATTAACAGGAGTGAGAGTCTGAGGAACACACACAAACAGCTCACATCCCTGATTCACACACACACACTTTGGCCAGGCATCTTCAACGTCTCATAAAGCTCTACAATTTATGAAGTCTATGCACCTCCTAATGGCACACAAACCCAGTTTGGGGCCCAAAACAGTCATCCCAGTCTGTTTAGTCACAGCCCGCTGCGGCTGCCGTATCCGTGGAGATGGGCCTGTCACAGTTTATTTACGTGAGCACTGATCATGTGCTCATTATATCAGAGGTCTGCCGTGAGTACAGAATGATGCAGATTTGTCTCAATCACATCAAGATACGAGGACATGAATCTAGACTAATAGCTGTTATTCCCATCTAGAGGCTTCTTTGTGTTCTTGGTTTAAAAACTAATTTAACTTGACTGTGGTTATATTGACGTATGTGTTTCTACAGCAAAATCTGCATATGAATATATGCAATTACACTTTAACCCATTCTAAATGTTATTATTTTGATTTATTTGTGTTTTCCAAGGCTGTTTTGATCTGCATACGAGCTTCTTGCATATGAACTACAATAATTTTTTTTCAGAAATTAATTGTGGCTGCACTGCTATTAAATTTATTTTTAATTATTTTAAAGGGGTCATCTGGGGATGCCCATTTTCCACAAGTTGATATGATACTTTAGGGTCTTAATGAAAAGTCTATAACATACTTTGGTTAAAATTTCTCAATGGTAGTGTAAAACAACACCCTTTTTATCTTGTCAAAATCACCTCTGTTTTCAGCAAGCCGTTTTAGTCCATGTTCCTTTAAATGCTAATGAGCTCTGCTGACACCGCCCCTCTCTTATGTGGGGTGACGAGCCGTTCTCATGATACTGTTCACTTTAGCCGCGGAACTTGCTAACTAGCATGTTATTAGGAAAGGCAATTTGCAAAGATTCATAAAAGAACCTTATACTCATTTCTGTAGGTGAGGCTGGATCACGAACGATTCGCACAAACATAGACGCATTTAGGTAGATCGGGGGCACATTCCCTTCAAAAACAAAGGTAATCCACTGCGTCTTCAGCGGCTCAGATGTCATGAGTAAATTACGACTGCTATGTTCATTATTACATCCAACAACAGAACACCTCAATAGCTTAGGAGACATTCTTGTCTACATCTGCTCCGGCGGTGAAACAATGGCAGACTGATGACAGCTCACTCAGGGCGGGTCTAAGGTAAAATGTTAGTGTCAATCAACAATCGTGGGAGGGCCTGGGTCTGTGTGACATCACACAGACAGACATCTGAGAATGGCTTGATATGAGAAAGGGGAAATGATTTAACAAGATTAAAAAAAAAACACTGGGTGGATTTTTATCATTATAGGGTCGTTGTGTACACACACTGCCAACAGACATTTCAGTTCAAACAACTTGTAAAAAAGCATGTCACATCTGATGACCCCTTTAACTAGCCAATATTTTACCAAGACAATAATTATTTTCATACTGTGGCTTATAGTAAAATTCTATACAGTTTTGTCTAATCAAATAAAAAATAAAAGATTAAAAAATACAAATAAATAATTTTAAAATGAATATTCCTTTTGAGAATTGCTAAAGATCACATTTAGGTGTTTTTATATCATTATATCATGTTTTTATATCAGTTTTTAAAGATTAACTTTTAGTAAGTATTAGATTACAACACAGGTAATCTAAATGGAAAAATACGAGAAATAAGCATTCCAAATCAAAGGGTTAGTTCACCCAAAAATGAAAAGGGAAAAAGAGAAGAAATTGTTGAATAAAGTCATTTTTCTGTTTTCTTTGCGCACAGAATGCATAGACTGTATAAAAACATGGACGTAGTGTCCGTGACGTAACCTCACATGGACGATTTTAACAATGTCCTTACTACCTTTCTGGGCATTGAACGTGTCAGATGTGTTGCTGTCTATGCAGGGTCAGAAAACTCTCAGATTTAATCAAAAATATCTTAAATTTGTGTTCCGAAGATGAACGAAGGTCTTACAGGTTTGGAACGACATGAGGGTGAGTAATTATTTTGCCATGCATTGGTCATAGAGCTCTGTGGCGTTGCCTCAGATGTTGAACTAGATTTGTTGCGCCAAGTTCATACTCCGTCAGTGCGTATACAGCCTATGTGTATGCGGTGCAGAAGCAGCACGGACTCATTTTGCTTTCGCACAGGACGCGTTTGCAGTCCGCTCCTGATCCGCGGCTGTTTACCACAAACACAACATTTATCCATTATTTTGATTTCAAATCCAAACGTTGTTTCTGAAAATGCTTTTTCAGCATTGTGATTCTCTTTTATCACAGTACAGTAATACAATCTTTCATAGACATATTCACGTTTAAACTCAATAAATATAACTTTAACTACCACCACGAGTGCCATCTATTATTGCCTTGTTTATCTAAAAGTGCACTTTTCCTTGTTTTAAATCTAGCCAAAAAGCCATGTGTTGACTGTGAAACAGTAGACTCTAATTATATGCATTTATGGTGTAATTACTAAATTTCCGTGCCAATCCATGTTATTTTTTACCGCGAATAATGCGCTGTCACTTTCAGCGCGTGCAGCACAGCAGAAATAGACTCCGTGCGGAAACGATCATAGCATACTGCGGGAGGTCGGGGGCGCGGAAAATCGTGCTATAAAGCGATTTAGAAATCGCGCACACTCAAATTGCAATTTTATGACGATTTCGATTAATCACACAGCCCTAGTAATTAATGACAGAATTTTCATTTTTGGGCGAACTAACCCTTTAACTATCCAAAATCATTAAATATACATCCAAAATCAATCAATACAAATGATTTAACACAATCTCTACTACTGTCCAATAATCAGTATGAAACAGCGCATTCCTAACATTAATAAAAATATAGCAATACATCACACAGTCCTTAAGTTTGCTATTCAAAAAGGGGTCTTGGCTGTCTTGATTTGATCAAAGGTTGCACTTAGCCTAATAAGGTTTTTTCATAAGTATTAAAATGATGTTACTGTACCTCTCTGGTGGTCAGTGCGTGCTCCCCTGCTAACAGCAGCATGCTTAAGCCACCCATCTTATTGGGATCTATAAACACAGCAGAGGAAAAAGATGTAAATAAATGTTGAACTATACAGTTAAACAACCACTGACTTAAAGACATAGTGTGGTGAAGGAATATGAACACTACCGTTCAATAGTTTTTAATTATTTTGTAAGAAATTTATATTTGTATTTAGCATAGATGCATAAAATTGATTAAAAGTGAGAGTAAATGCATTTATAATGTTACAACTGATCTATTTTTGAAAAATTGTGTTCTTTTAGATTTTCTATTTATCAAGGAATTTTATAAAAAAAAAACAATTATCCACAAACCAAACCAAATCAGAATGAATTCTGAAGGATCATGTGACTGTGAAGACTGGACTAATGGCTGCTGAAAATTCAGCTTTGCCATTACAGGAATAAATTACATTTTAAAATATATCAAAATAGAAACAGTTATTTTAAATTGTAATAATATTTCCCAATAGTTTTACTCTATTTTTGATCAAATAAATACAAACTTGGTGAGCATAAGAGACTTCTTTCATAAACGCAATCTTACCAAACCCAAACTTTAGAACAGTAGTGTATGTGTGGACACATTTAAGTGTTTGTTTTGCTCCTACCAGCCATGGCGAAGTTGAGTTGGGGTGTGCTGTCAGTTTTGGGCTGTTTTTTGGCAACTGAAGATTCCTTGCTAGGGTTGGTTGGAAGAGACCAGACTTTCTTGCGGGCGTTACTCACAGAGTGAGAAGGACTCTTTACTGGCTTGTTGGTGGCAGGACACCATTTGTAACCAGGATTAGCCTTCATGAACGCATCCTTATACTGTATAAAACAGAACATAATCAAATAAAATTATGTGAGTATAGGAGAGCATAAGTCTAAGTGGATGTCCATGACATGCGGAGTCCCACAAGGCTCAATTCTTGCACCGCTCTTGTTTAGCCTGTATATGCTCCCACTAAGTCAAAGAATGAGAAAGAACCAAATTGCCTATCACAGCTATGCAGATGATACCCAGGTTTCCTTGCCTAATAGATTCAAGTCAGCTGTTGACATTTTCCTTCACCTTTGTAACTACTGATTTTCCATTTTTAAAAGTTTTTTCCTGCTGTTTTTCATGGGTTTAAAACTATTAGCTTTTTTAATTTTATGTTTGCTATCACATTTAATCACTATGACCACAAAAATAAACATGGTTACTGTGTATAGTCTACCTCTCTTAGACTGATTTTTACCTCCTTCGCCATGTCTGTGTATTTCTGTTTTTCTTTGGGGTCCAGTACGGCCCACCAGTCCGCCAGGATCTTAGTGGCTCCCCGGTTGTCTAGTCGCGGATGCTCCTGTCGGACCAGTGAACGGTGCCGTTTGCAGAACAGCAGAAAGGCGTTCATGGGCCGGCGAGCCCGTTGTTCAGAGGAGTATTCCTCACTGTCATCTTCCATTCCGCCACACTCTCCCTCCTTTGCTCCACTCTCAGCACATAACACCGGCTCCTGAGGAGAGAAGTGAGGAGAAAGTGGAAAGAGACATACAGAGACCTGGTCAATTTCAGTAGCAGTGGACAAAGCTACACTAAGATTAAAACCAAGCCTATTCACATATTTTTGCTGCAATATTTTACCACAGTACAATATTAAAATGAAACAATATGGATGAAATTTGAACTATAAGGAAACTACAGAGTTAGTTCATTTTTGTCCTTCCTCTATAAAATAATTGACCAAAATGCAAGACATTAGCTTCTGCCACATGATTCCATACCCATAACTCAAGAGTCGACATTAATGCTGTTTCTATTGTTGGTTTCAATTTGGTTTTCTGTTGCTAATGTTGGTTTTCAAGTATTGGTATTTTGAATTAAAATACCTCAATAAAGCATTTTGCTTTCATTAACCATACAAACTTTCTTAAAGAGATGGATGATAAAAAAAAAGATGCAAAAAACAAACAAACATATATTTGTATATTCTACAAATCTGACTGAGCCTGACAATGATTCAACAATGATGCAACGTTAAAGACCATAGGAAGTTGCTTTGTTTTTTGCTGTACTGACGCATTTTTGAAACTGAAACAGATTGGGCGGAAATGGAAGGTCTATTTCAATAGTCTTTATTTTAGCCCATCTAAAATAATACTACTGAACCACGATATGATACATGCTATTGGTATTTTGATATTGATTATTCTAATACTAAAAAATTTTTTTGGACAAATATCTGTCTATACAACCCTCGATATACATTTCCATCCAAATTTTGGGGGTCATTAAGATTTTTATACAAATTCATTGCTTTATTCATCAAAGCAGCATTAAATTGATCAAAAGTGACAGTAAAGGCATTTCTAATATGTTACAAAACATTTCTATTTCAAATAATTGAATTATATTTATAAAATAAAAAAATATAAAAAATCACGGTTTCCACAAAAATATCAAGCCGTGCAACCATTTTCAGCATTGCCATTAATAAGACATTTTTCTTGAGCACCAAATCAGCATATTAAAATCATTTCTGAAGGATCATGTGACACTGAACACTGGAAATCATTCAGCAATGATGCTAAAAATTCAGCTTTGCCATCACAGGAATTAATTATATTTAAAACATATTAAAATAGAACACATTTTTTATTTGTACTACCATTTCAAACGTTACCATTTTACTGTATTTTGATCAAATAAATGCAGCTTTGGTGAGAACAAGAAAATTCTGTAAAAAAAAAACTTTGGAGCCCAAACTTTTGAACTGTATTGTAAATGAGTGAAAAATGTACATTTTAAATCTACTAAAAAGTTTTACCACGATGCATGAATGAAGTCGTTATTTTTGTTTTCTTTGCACACAAAAAGTTATCTAGTAGCTTCATAAAATTACTGTTGAACCACTGATGTCACATGGACTATTTTAACAATGTCCTTACTACCTTTTGCATTGCTGTCTATGCAGGGGGCAGAAGGCTTTCAGATTTCATAAAAAAATCTTAATTTGTGTTCCAAAGATGAACGAAGGGCTTACGGGTTTGGAACGACATGAGGATGTGTAATTAATGGCAAAATTTTCAGTTTTGGGTGTACTATCCCTTTAATGCACTGAAGTGAATCCAGTTTGTGTAATCATTCACCTTCTCCAGCTCCTCTTCATCCTCCTCCTCCTCTTCCTCAGAGAAGTCTGGAGCTTTCTTGGCCAGCAGCGGGTGCCACTGCAGACACTTGCGTTTGGGCCGCTTTCCGCTGACCTCTCCCTCCACCGGAGGTTCTTTCCCTCCACCTCCGCCCTTCATTCTGCTGCTGACCCTGATGAAGGCAAAGGTCAGAGGTTAAGCACGGCCCTTAATGCTCTTTAACATCACATAATAGACCATATAGCAGGAAGAGGCCATGACACACTGATAATTACACTGCCTGGTAGTTAATTTAAAGGTGAAATGTGTAATTGGTTACAACAAGAGAAAAAAAGGGAGCAATTTGAGGAAACCGAAAGGCAGCTGCAGACTGCAAACATAATTTGAAGGGCATCATAAGAATATAAGAAAAGCTCACACTATAATAATGTATTTTTGATGGGGTTGTAAATAAAGTAATGTCTGCATCATAGCGGACATATTCAAAGTGCAGTCTCTTCCAGTGCACAGTGTTAGTTCAAGGAAAACAGGCATGCTGTCGAGTGCAGTGTGGCGCAGTGTTCGCTGAGGGAGAGCGGACACAGGGTTCCCTGTCTATCTCAGCACTGTTCTTCTGCGTCTGCAGCACCGGTGCAGCTCTACTGTACATGTGACCTTCACATACACCAGATCTCTCCTCTCCAATAGGACCAAAGCACACATACACAAACAGGAAAAGGAAGACAAACGCAGTCACGTCACCATGAAACTTAACATACAAGCTCACTACTAGCTAGACTGTTTCCTAACTCACATGCTTCAGTTATCATGTGTTAAATTTTAAACTGCACATAGGAAAGGATCTGAATTTGGGAGTACAGTGTATCTAGATATTGCATTAGCAGCAGACATCTTCTGAAAGGTTGTTCATAGCTGGTGTCTGCTGCCCTCTTGCTGTTAATTTGGTTACAGGACTGTTATGAACAAATGCTGACACTAGACAATGTCTCGCACATTCATTCATCGTTGTTCATGTGAGAACTCAAACAAAGAGCAGATGTAAATGTCTGTTGACCAAGACGTTTTCATGCTTTTTTTCCAAATGTGATAAATATTTTAAAAGCAACTATATATTTCCATGTAAAAAGATGAATTTATACTGTTTGAGAAACACTGTATCATATAGAAAAAGCTTGTTATGAATAGCTATGTTGGTAAATCAAATAATCAGAAAAATGCTAAATTAAATAATTGTCTTTTATATTGTCACCGTATGAAAAACAACTGAATAATCTAAAAATAACGAAGTTAAATGTGAGTAGAAAGGAAAAACTCCAAAGAAACATAGAAATATGAATATGGCAAGGCAGGAAACATAAACACAAAATTCTCATAAACTACATGCTGATTAAAAACTACAAGTGTCAATAGAATAAAATAACGGCAATTAATCTGTTTTTTTTTTCTGTAGAAAGCAAAATGAAAATGAAAAAACAACAAGGTAAATGTTAACATTTATTAGTTTTCTAACTGATTTCTAAAGTAAATTAATAGTTCACTCACTGAATCATTTACTCACTCTTATGTACATTTACATCTATACATTTAGCAAATGTTTTCCTGTCATGTAATTTCAGTCCCATTTTTCCTCTTTGCCACACAAAAGGAGATGTTGTGAGGATGTTCATCCTTCTCTTTTCCATACAACGAAAGCAGACAGTAACAAAGTAGTTCATGATATCCATCTCCTTTTGTGGTCTACAGAAAAAAACGGTGGGTTTCGGAACAACGTGAATGTGAAGTAAATGATGACAGAAGTTTAATTAATGGGTGAATTAAAAATACGGCATGCAGTTGCATAAAACAATGGTATAAACATCATTCAATGTAAATTGTGATAATCGTAATTAATAATCGCAATTACAATTTCAAGGTTTTGTCATAATCGTGCAGCCCTAACTAATACTGTGAGTCATGGTTGTGAGAATGTAAATATAGATTAAAATTACTATTAAAGGAATGCAGTAGTAGCATGCTGTTGATTACCACAGAAAATCATTTTGGCTGGTATTTCAGTCAGTACATAAAAAACAGCAGAAATCGTATTTACAATGAAAGCCATTACTGTCAAAGGAAATATATGTAAGAAATAAATGATTTGTTTTCAGTTCAGGCAACATGAAATTAAATTGAAAATTTTGACATTACAATAAAAGTTACCCTTCCCACATGTTTTATGTTTGCATGTATTCTCTGACCTTCCTATCTTATGTACTCTCAGATAGGCACTTGTCATGCAAGGACAACTTTCAAAAACAAATTATATCTAAATTTCCCAAATTTGAATGAAACGAGAGTTCACAACCTCACTGAACCAAAACAGGGACTTGCAACAGGTTTGCGGTTAAAAAAAAGTTACATGTCCAAGAAATCTGTTTAAAGCTATTTTTAATTGACATCCAAGATTACACAAATGGGAATATTTATTTGAATGTAACCCTGGTGCATGACATTAAACATAATCCTAATATAAATTTAGTTCTACTCTATTTGAATTGCAAACAGAAAGCTAAACAGGGTAGATGATGACAGGTAGATACAAGATCTGAGATCTGATTTGGGGCACCTTAATATCTCATTATTGTCTAAAGAGTGTAAAGTAAGCTCATTTGAACTCATAGAGATATACATTCCTGATCAAATAAAATGTCACAATGTACAGATAAATCGTACACAGAATACTGGGACTTTTACACTGTAGAGGTATGTCAATGTTCTTCATTGCGACGTCTATCTTTGAAAGTTTGATTTGTCAGAATGTAATTATACAGACAAGAAATGTGGCTCCAAGCCACTGGTGTAAACAAGGCTGCTTTGCCTAAATCAATATTCAGGTCAGGTGTGCATGTTTTACTAGCAGAAATAATAGGATGAAATCAAACTTTAATGATGCACTTCTGATGAATGCAATGAAAACCTACAACAGCTGATACTGTCTAAGAGGATAGGATAAGAAAACAGCAGATTTGGTATTCATATGTAAATATCAATAGTGAACTTAGAGGTTTGCATTATCAGACTATTATTAAATAAAACCTTGAATAGCACAATTATCCATAAATTAATTGCACGTTATCCCTTCTTTTGTCCTAAGAAACTGCATTCACCTGTGATCTTTAGTTTCAATTTGACAAGCATCGAAACCCGTTAAAAACACATGAATTCGTAATGTGAGTACAACGGATTTGAAGACCCATTAATTAAGAAATTATTTTTTTATGGTTTTAAAGTACCACATTGTTGTTTTATTCTTGTTAAATCTTAGAAAATTGATGGAGTATTACAATTCGTCTAAGAACTTTTTTTATGCTGATTATATTCATTCACTTTTGGCATTTCATATCTCAAACTTTATAGCAATTTCTGTATTAACTTTGATGTTAGATAATAAACTGTATACAACTTAAAGGGGTCATATGATGTTGCTAAAAAGAACATTATTTTGTGTATTTGGTGTAATGAAATGTGTTTATGCTGTTTAAGGTTCAAAAAACACATTATTTTCCACATACTGTACATTATTGTTTCTCCTCTATGCCCCGCCTTTCTGAAACGCGTTGATTTTTACAAAGCTCATCGGTCTGAAAAGAGAGGTGTGCTCTGATTGGCCAGCTATCCAGTGCGTTATGATTGGCCGAATACCTCAAGCGAGTGACCTAAATGTTACCCCCCATATCATACTGTGATGCCCTGTCCGGCCGGACCGACGAGACAAAAAACATTAAAACCCATTATAAACGAGGCATTTGTTGCATCCAGTGGGGACATAATTACGGATTATAATGACTTATACTGTCTTTTTCCGCACTGCATCGTATCGCGCCGCGTAAACATAAAACCATGTCTGCATTTGTGATCGGAGAAATGACAAACAACAAGTGCTACTCTACACTGC